ACTACTACTACTACTACTACTACTACACTTACTACTACTACTACTACTACTACTACTACTACTACTACTACTACTACTACGACTACTACTACTACTACTACTACTACTACTACTACTACTACTACTACTACTACTACTACTACTACTACGATGCTTATGAGTTGTCCTCCTCCTCCTCCTTTTCCTCTTCCTCCTCCTCATCCCCCTCCTGCTCTTGCAACCCCATTTCCTGCTTCTCCTCCACCCCTCCCCCTCCTCGCCCTCCTCCCTCGTCCTCCTCCTCCTCCTCCTCCTCCTCCTCCTCCTCCTCCTCCTCCTCCTCCTCCTCTCCCACCTCCTCCTCTTCCTCCTTCTCCTCCTCCTCCTCCTCCTTGTTCTCCTCCCCCCCAGGGGCGTCGCCCCGGCTCCCGCCTGAAGTGGTGCACGGGGAAGACGAGCCCGCTCCGCGAGGACGCCGAGGAGGCCCTCTCGCCTGCACCAGGGAGCGGCGGCGATACGGGGAGGGCGAGGAGGGATCGCACGCCACTGGGGCGCAGGGGAGGGAAGGGAGGGAGGGCAGGGAGAGCAGGGAGGGGGGACAAGGATGGCAGGGAGGGGAGACGGGATCGCACGCCAATGGGGGAGAATGGGACGCACAGAGACACACTAATACTAGATGTCCTCCCTGGGAGGCGCGCGTCCGACCCGAACATAAAGAAAAACCCATTTTGTGGCAGAACCTTTTCCCGAGGCCAGAAAACGCCCGCCACGACGCATATACTACAAGATCTCTCGGTGCGCGCGTCGCCCCTGGAGGGGGCGACGCAGATGTAGTATAAGTATGTTGGGGTGACGCCGAAAGAAGACAAGAAAGAAGCCCGACGGCTCAGCCACAAACCCCAGGGGGGCCATCGGAGAGGACCTCTGTGACACCACAGTACGGTCTTGCGCAAAGCGCACCGTGGGCCAGGGTCCCCCCCCGGGGAACAGAACGCACCGTCCTCATCGAAGTCGAGCAGTTCATTTTGCTCCTTTTCCTTGAGGCGCCTGCCGAAACCTCGAGCCCCGGCGTCGTTCAGACCGAACGCTTGGAAGCAATCTGCCAGGCACAGCTCTCATGTCTCGCAGCCCCTCCACGGGCCAGCTGGAGCCGTGCTATCATGGCCCCGACCGGCTGGGCCCCCATGCTGATGATGATGCTGATGATGCTGACGATGACGATGATGATGATGATGATGATGATGATGATGATGATGGTATGATGACGGTGCTGCTGATGATGCTGGTGATGATGGTGACGGTAACGGTGACGACGCTGAGATTGATGAGGAGGAGGAGGACATTCAGGAGGAGGAGGAGGAGGAAGAGGAGGACGAGGATTGGAAGGACAAGGAGGAGGAGGAGGAGGAGGAGGAGGAGTGAGCCCCCATGCTGTCACAAAGGCCTCCTCCTGAAGAAACACCTCCACCGAAGAAACACGTTTCAGGCCCTGCCTGGCCAAGCATTACCTTCCCTCTGCCAGCAAAAATGTTAACCGAGTCGTGGCGACGGAAAGCTGCACCTGTTCTGGCCAGCCTGCCCGCCCCTGAACTACTAGACCTCTCGAATTCCGAGATCCGCCCATCGCGGACACCTTTCTGAGTGGAGTAGGCCAGCACCTTTTTGATTTGAACTCATCGCGCCCTCCTTGGGGAAAAACTGACGGCAAACATGAGCCTTCACTTTGGACGAGCGACAGGCAAATCGCTTGCTCTGGCAGCACTGGACCGCGCCGCGACAGTCTGAATACAGCGTGAACTCGCCACCGATGAAACGGGTGGCCACGAAGATTGCATAGTCGTCGCCATCCCGCGCCACCTGAAACGGGCACGACTTCGGCGGGACCGAGCCATCCCAGGCAGCAACAGGGTGACGCTCATGATCAAAGACAGCCTCACCCCGCCCCGCCACTAGGAGAGTGGGGAACAGGCCATCGAGACCCGAGCCATCGCAAAAACATGCCCCCCTTGAAGCATGAGCTGCGCGCCCCCGCTCTCGATCCTGATCTCAGCGGACGGGCCCTAGGGCTTTCGGGAAAGCCACTGACACGCATCGGGAAAGAGGCCCCGCGCGAAGCGCTCTTGAAGCTCGACCGAGAAGAGGGCAGGACGCCCTGCCGCAGCTTTAGCCCTAGGGGGGACGTTGTACCCGCACCAAGCCTCGTGAGCAGGGCACGCTGAAACGCCCGTAAAGCAGGGCGCCGAGGCCTCCGCGTCGCAGATATTGGTCTGGCAGTTGTGGGTCGTGCTGGCGCAGCCAATGCTGGGGCGGGACAGACCTCTCAAGGTCCGCTGCCCCCTGGAACCTGAAGGGCACCCAGTCCCACCAGACTCGCCCGCGGCGACCTGGAAGCGCAGAAGCTCCTTTAGCCCCCCCAATAAATAAAACCCCGCCACGCTGGGCCCTGGCCAGTCTTCGAGAGCCCCACGCCGTCCGAGAGGCACCCCGGCAGCGAAGCGGGCTCTGCGAGCCAGAAAAGCACGGAGATACATCGCCAAAGCGACTGCTCGCCTGCTGCCTCCTCGATAGAGGCCAGAAAATCCACCCCCGCAAACGCAGCGCGCGCCCTTGAAGCGACCGCCCCTGCGAGGCCGCCAGCCAGCATCCCATCGTTGGGCGCGGCGCCCCCAGGGGGCGGGCCGCGCCCGTGGGTCCGCGCAATCGCCGCCCTACGCGCGGCGCCCACCCCCTGGCAGGGTCACCTGGGTGCCGATTACCCCAATGCCGAAGGTAGCCAGGGAGCCGCCAGGAGAGAGGGCGCGAAACCCTATGCCGAGCCAGCCACCACTGGCGCGCGCGCTCCCCTGACGCGCAAGCTATCCCGGCGCGCGCGCAGGTGCATGGCCTGCCTGTTCGCCTCCAGCATGTCGTCGCCCTCGAGCTCTTCTCGATCCATATAATCGAGAAAACGCCGCACCCCCAGCTGCCAGCGCCGATAACTGGCAGCAAGGAAGGAGAACCTGCGCGGCGCGCTCGTCGCGCGCGCGAAGCTGAGCCGCCGCGACGCGGGATCCCAGCGGCGGCCGAGCAAACAAACAAACAGCACTGGCAGCGCCGCGCGGCGCGGCGCGCGGCCCCCCCTTGCAGGCCGCGCCCGCGCGGCGTCGCGCTCGTCGGCGGACGTGGCCGCCGACACCCCCGCGCCCCCGTTCGCTGCATCGTGCGCGCTTGTGCCTGCCAAACAAACGAATTTGTGGGCCTACCACAAACGCAGCGCGCGCTCTTGTAGCGACCACCCCTGTGAGGCCGCCAGCACCCCATCGTTGGGCGCGGCGCCCCCAGGGGGCAGGACGCGCCCGCGGGTCTGCGCAATCGCCACCCAACGCGCGGCGCCCACCCCCTGGCAGGGTCACCTGGGTGCAGATTACCCGAATGCCGACGGTAGCCAGGGAGCCGCCAGGGGAGGGGGCGCGAAACCCTATGCCGAGCCAGCCACCGCTGGCGCGCGCGCTCCCCTGACGCGAGAGTTATCCCGGCATACGCGCAGGTGCATGGCCTGCCTGCAGCGCCTCCAGCATGGCGTCGCCCCCGAGCTCTTCTCGATCCATATAATCGAGAAAGCGCCGCACCCCCAGCTGCCAACGCCGATAACTGGCAGCAAGGAAGGAGAACCTGCGCGGCGCGCTCGTCGCGCGCGCGAAGCTGAGCCGCCGCGACGCGGGATCCCAGCGGCGGCCGAGCAAACAAACAAACAGCGCTGGCAGCGCCGCGCGGCGCGGCGCGCGGCCCCCCCTCGCAGGCCGCTCCTGCGCGGCGTCGCGCTCGTCGGCGGACATGGCCGCCGACGCCCCCGCGCTCCCGTTCGCTGTCGCGCGCGCGTTTGTGCCTGCCAAACAAACGAACTTGTGGGCCGACCATAAGAATCACCCCGACAAACGCAGCCGTTTAACAAACGCACCCACGGAAAGAATCGAACAGGGCAGGGCTGTTTAGTAAACGCCCAGGGCCGTTTCGTGACCGTCGGTTGTCGGGTCCGGGCGGTTATTCCTCCCTGGACTCGAGCCCCCGAGGGTCCAGAGGCTTGAACCCGACCCGTGAGCAGGCGAGCATCGGGGCAGCGATGGGGCCCTTGACCAGAGCCCACGGACGGGGCTTGCGGGCCAGCCCGGGGCCCCGGGAAAAAAAAGAGAGAGCGCAACACTGGGGCCGACAAGCGGCCGCCCTGAAGAATGGGCCCACACATGCGGATCGCGCCCGAGGTCACCGGCACCAGGGGGGGCCCACGCCCCACCACGCCGACTGCGCACGGACACCAGCTCAAGTGAGCACCCCCTGGGCAGGTGGCCTTCTGCGCGAAGCACTCGAACCTTGAGCTGCTGAAGCCGGCCGGCGGCAAGCCTCTGGATGTCGGCCCCCCAAAGACCCTTGGCCGAGATTCCAACTCTAAATAAAAACACTGCCAGGGGAAACGCCCGCAACCCGAAGGGCCAGGACCTTGGAGACCTTCCTTTGGGCCTCACAAAACCTGTCCTGGCGCGTCGAAACACGGCATCGGCCGCCATCGGCAACGTCGCCCCCCGAGGTCGCGGTGCACCTGACACTTTACCGATCTGGGCAGACCACATTCCTCGCGCAAGCCCTTCGCCAGCTGGCGAGAGGAGAAGGGGGCACCTAGTTTGTTCAAGGCGATGGGCAGGCCCTTGTCCTGCAGGTCTTGCGAAATAAAGCGAAAGGACTTGCCCAACTCCGCCCTAACCGCACTGGCACCTCCCACGGCGTGCAGCGAGACGACATCGATCACACTCTTGACCCTGACCGTTGGGCTGGCTCGAGCAGCCTTGCGAAGAGTCGCCAACAGGGATGTCGCGCCCAAACCGCTTCAGCCGCGGCGGTGGGATAGATCACTCGGCCGATCGCCCCCTGCCGAGTCACTCGACGAGGCGCGCGATACAAACCACAGTAGGCTCGAAGCAACTGATAAAGGGAAGTCGGCATGCCTGGCTGCATATAGCAGTCCCTCGTGCGATTATGCTCGTAAGCATTTCCGCCAGTCTAGAAATAGCGCCCTCGTCTCAAAACCTGGCACACTGCGCGCATTGGCCACGAGCGCACTGTACCCCCACGCGCTCTTATCGGGTGCTGCGCTGGTGCCCATACCCCAGAAACCGCTCGTGAACCAGTCGCTCCCGTTCAGAGCACAGCCTGCGACGAATTATGCTGCGTACTCGGGCCCAGAGCGGCAGGAGCCCGATGGGCCGGACACCTCCTGAGGCCTGTTCTAGAAAAACGACCATCACAAGCCATCAGAGGGCCCTGTGGAAGGGCACCGCCCCCAGGCCGCGAGGATAACCCCAAAGGATTCCACCAGCGACCTGGGTAGCTGCAGCAGCAAGCGCGGGCTGAGAGCGCCCCAGCTAGCCCAGTGGTAGGGCTGCAAGACGACGCTGCATCCAGCACCTGCTCAGCCGAGATGGGCGGCAAGGGCTTCCCTGCAGGCCACTGCATTGGCGGGGCCTCTCTGCCCCTGGACGGCTTGCAGCAGCTGGGCATCCGCTCCTTACAAGTCTGGTCCGAAGCCTCTTGGCCGACCAGGCGGGTGGGGCTGCCAGCGGCTCCCTCCCCCAAACCCCCTTCATCAGCAAAGACAGGCGGGGGCGGAGGGGCGGGTCCTTTCGAGCACCTGTGCGCCGCCCGCCCACCCCGCTCCAGGCAAGCCCCCCTGGCCCAGGACCTCCACCTCGCGCGACCCTCTGCCGCCTCTGGCTGCACCCTGCGCGTGACCTCATCCTAGACGGGGTCCGCCAGAGGCCCTCTCGCTGCCTCATCTTCCAGGCGGCCGAAACAAGTGGACAGTGCGAGGCTTCGAGGGCCTTCCACGAGGGAGCTGCGAAAAAGAACAGCAAGAGGCTCTGCCGCCTGCCGCGGACGTTGCTTGCCAGTCTTGGGCCTCAGAAACTGCAACGCCAAACGGCGAAGCGACAGCCACTTCTGAGTTGTCAAGGTGGAGCGCCGTTGCAGCTTTTGATCCCAGGCCGCTTGGAGCGGCACAAGCTGCAACTGGCATCCCTTGGAACGCCCCAGAAACTCCAGATCCGAAAGACAGTGGACCTCACAGAGGAACTTCTCGGCAGCACCGAGCCACCTGGCCGCCGCCACTAGGGGCTCCTGGCCCGAAACATCAGGACAGTCCCAGGAGCCAGAACAAAAAGCATCGCCTCCTTCTCATCCTCAGACGCTGGGAACAGAAAAGCCTTCGGCACCACGCTCCTCCAGACCTTGGCCAGGCCTGCAATGCCACGCAGTCTGAGCACTGCGGCTGAGTGGAAGCCGACTGGCGTATCGCAAACAGACGCACAGGAATGCACGTTGTAGCCAGGGCAACTGCTCAGCACAAAAAGTCGAAGCGATTGTCGTGACATGTTGGCCCAGCAGGGCGAACAATGCTGGCGCCGAGACGGCCAGACCACTCCGCCTGGCGCAAAGTCCACCGCATCTCTGTTCCAATCGCCTGCGACGATAAAGGGTAGCCCAGAAGCCACCACCAATTCACTCACGTGGTCTAAGAAAAAAACAAACAAAAGCTTGCTCCAGCAAGGCCTGGCGCAGCGCGGCGGTAGACCGACACTAACAGAAGCTGGCAGTTTGGAGACAAAGCAACACGCAGGGCCGCAATCCTCTCGGACAAGCCGACGTCGGCCGATGTCGGCCGACGTCGGCTCGACCTGAGCAGTGCTTTTCCCGCTCTCGTGCTGCTGTCGGCCCGCCCGTGCTGCAGCAGCACGAGGCTGGCACAAGAGGCGGCCTGCGCGGAGTCGCCCGGGAAAAACACCGCTCGGCTCGGGCCGCCGCCTCGCAGCGCGCGGGCGCGCCAACGCGCACGCGAGCCCCGCCGGGCCTGCGGGATGCGCGCGGCGCTCGCGCGCGCCCCATCCTTGGAGACCCCGAGGTCGGCCGAAGGGGGCATGGCCGAAGTCGGCCGAGCCGCAGCGCCCTCCGATTTTGGGCCGCCGTGTCTCCCGAGGTCCCCCTGCGCCAGCTCCCGTGCGTGCCGCAGGGCCACAGAGAGGACGCGAGCATCCAGCCCCACAATCTGCAAAAGGGGAGGAGGGGGAGGAGGAGGAGGAGGAGGAGGAGGAGGAGGAGGAGGAGGAGGAGGAGGAGGAGGAGGAGGAGGAGGAGGAGGAGGAGAGAGGTGCTGCAATCTGCGCTGACTGGAGGCGGCGCTCTTGGAAAAAGATGCCGTCACAGGCGGTGGATGTCACCTCCCTGCTCCACTCCAATAGCTTTACTCCCGTAGCCCAGGCGTTCGAGCTGCAGGTGGCCAAGGAAAGGTAAACCTGCTGCAATCCCGAATTTGGCCCTGCCTGACGCTGCGACGAGGAGCTTTAGGAGGAGACGCACACACCAGGGGCAACGACCGCCCGCACACGTGCCGCCTTAAAGCAACATTTCGAAAACGGCCCACCCTCCATCCGTCAAACCCCAGCAGACTGTTAAGACAAATGCGCGCGACGCTAAGGCGAGAACCACTTGTTGAAAACCAAATGCCCTCCAACCGCGAAACTTTCGCAAACATTCAAAAAAACAAACAAACAAACAAACAAACAAACAAACAAACAAACAAACAAACAAAAAACGAGTGAGCGCGGCACTTAGGCGAGAACCACATTCTGAAAACCACTCGCCCTCCATCAGTGAAGCTCGTGTTCAATGTTTACAACGAATGCGCGAGGCGATAAGGTGATAGTCAAATGTGAAACAGGAACCGCCCTCCATCCGTGAAACTCTTGCAACTTGTAAAGGCGAGTGTGCACGGCGCCTAGGCGAGAACCACATCATCTTTGATAACGACCCGCCCTCCATTTGCGAAAGCGTTGCAACATTCAAGTTCTAGAATCAGAAATGGTGAGGAAGTCTCAGGCGAAACGTCCGGGCCGCCCTACCGACACGCCTCGGGGTGCGACAGTTATTCGTAAGGAAAAAACGAAGGAAGAGGAGGAGGAAGAGTAGGAGGAGTAGGAGGAGGAGGAGGAGGAGGGGAGGCTACGTTCACCGAACTTTGCAGCCATCAGGAACCAGGAACCAGGAGGAGGAGGCAGAGAAGGAGGAGGGAGAGGGAGGAAGAGGAGGAGGAGGGAGGAGGCAGGGAGGGATGAGGGAGGGCGGGAAGGAGGGAGGGGGGGAGGGAGCAGGAGCAGGAGCAGGAAGAGGAGGAAAGGCAGGAGCAGGAGGAGCAGCAGCAGGAGCAGGAGGAGGAGCAGGAGGATCAGGAGGAGCAGGAGCAGGAGGAGCAGGAGGAGCAGGAGGACAACGACGACGACAACGACGACAACGACGACAACGACGACACGAGGACACCCAAGGCAGGGGACCATGCACCGAGAGGTCCGGGGACCGATTTTTGAAGTGTAGTCGTCGTCGCCGCCGTCGTCGTCGCCGTCGTCGTCGTCGTCGTGGCCGTCGTCGTCGTCGTCGTCGTCGTCGTCGTCGTCGTCGTCGTCGTCGTCGTCGTCGTCGTCGTCGTCGTCGTCGTCGTCGTCGTCGTCGTGGCCCAGCCGCCTCCCGACGCCGCGGCGCCCCTGCCCGGCCCGCCCTTCTTGACGACCGGCCTCCCGCCCCGC